CAACAACACCATAAAAACATTTTAAAACATTAACATATAATATAAAACCATAACAAGAGCAATAAAATCATAATTTTTTTGCGTCTCCTAATTAAAAACATTGGTAGGTGGGTCCCAAACCGTTTAGGGCTTTGTAGGTGATAACTTGATTCTAGGATTCCTATCTCAGATCAAACTATACTCTTATCTTAGATCAAATATAGTCTTATCTTGGATCAAATTATTATCTCAGGTCAAACTATATTCTTATCTTGGATCAAATTATATTATCATGGACCAAACTATTATCTCCAGTAAAATATATATTCTTATCTCGGATCCAAGTATAGTCTTATCTCACATCAAATTAAATTCTTATCTCATATCAAACTTATCTCAGGTCAAACTATATTCTTGTCTCAGATCAAATTTTTTTTCGTGTCAGGAGTAACTCCTGGTGTGAGGGAATTGGCCATCTGCAAGGACGTTGCCCAGGGGACGCCTGGATGATTTTGATGTTTTTATCATCCTTGTGGGAGGCTTCTCTCATGTCCCCGCATGAGGAGCTGGAGCTGATAGAGGGAGCTCATCCGCCTCTCCCCGGATTTGAACCTGCGACCTGTCGGTCTTCAGTCCTGCCGGCACAGGGGTTTAACCAGATCAAATGAGACAGTCTCCTTCTCCCTCCTGGTTCCCTTCCATCGCAATCCAATGAGACGCCAAGACCACTGCTGCATTTCTATTCACAAAGTGCTTTAATTAAAACAAAATAACCTAGTTGCATGTGCTTTGTGTTCTCTATTTGGGTTGTGACAGGATGAGGTCCACAGCCCCCAGCCCCCCTCCCCCCTAAAGCGCAAATACCTGGAAAATTGTAGGTGTAAAATATTAAAAATTAGAATGAAAAAATCCCCCTGAAAGGGAAAGGTAAGGACAGGCGATGCACAAAGAGACATGGCAGATCAAGTTATTGCGAGGTGAGTGCAAAAGGGAAGACTATATTGCTGTTAGAATAATCCAAGAAAGATAACACACATATATAGTACATGTTTGCAAAAGTTTGTGCTGCTTTGGCCCATAAATGCCCTTATTGCCTTACTAAGGGAAACACTTGGATTATTTCAGGAAACATGTTGCATCCACACTGAAGAGTTCAATGCAGTTTGATACCCCTTGGCTGAATGCAATGGGATCATGGGAGTTATAGTTTCTTCTCTTTGCAAAACTACAGCTCCTGGATTCCCACTGTATTGAGCCAAGGCAGTTAAAGTGATATCAAACTGCATGAAACTCTGCAGTGTAGACGCATCTATTCTTGGTCTATACAGATATAGATATATGTATTATTGCTGTTCCTTTCCTGTGCATGTGATATTTGGCATATAGAGAAGGCAAGGGGAAGGAATCAGTTGGAGATTCATTAAAAAACACACAAACATAAAATATATCTATAATTAATCTAGTGCAATTTTAGAAGTGGAGACGACATGTTAAGAGAGAGGGTTGGCTAGGAAGAGGGGAAAACTATGTCACAATCGTATGCAAGGAAACAAATAATATACAGTGGCCAAAGAACCCCATTTTGGGAAAATGGTAGCGTGGACATCCAAGGTGAGAATTAATATTTTTGTTTGGAAATGAAACATTCACTTGTGTGGCAAAACCCCAAAAGGTGCATTATTTCACTCCGCTAAAATTTTAGGAATCTCAAGCAAACAGCAAAATTTAAAAAAATATTAATACTTAAAATAATAAAAATAATCTTTTATAGTACAGAACAATCAGTGTTACATTTTAAGCGGAGTTTGTATTTGTTTTGAATTGTTATACTGCAATATGAGCATCAGGTCAATACAGAATTTATGGTTATGATCTAGCAAGTGGTATAAGGTAAAGGTAAAGGTTGTCCCCTGACATTAAGTCCAGTCATGTCTGACTCTGGGGTGTGGTGCTCATCTCCATTTCTAAGTCGAAGAGCCAGCGTTGTCCATAGACACCTCCAAGGTCATGCGGCCGGCATGACTGCATGGAGCGCCATTACCTTCCCGCCGGAGCGGTACCTATTGATCTACTCACATTTGCATGTTTTCGAACTGCTAGGTTGGCAGAAGCTAGGGCTGACAGCGGAAGCTCACGCCGCTCCCCGGAATTGAACCTGTGACCTTTCGATCAACAAGCTCAGCAGCTCAGTGCTTTAACCCACTGCACCACCGGGGGCTCCTAGCAAGTGGTATAGTATTAATTAATTATGCTATAATACTATTAATAAGGGTATTAATTAGGCCTATTTTAATAGTGACTCTCAAGCAACCAGAAACTCTCAAGCATGGGTGCCGGTTAACTGAGGTTCTATGGTGCTTTTGTTGTTGGTACAATTGTTACTAATGGAGTTGCATGAGATTATAACTAAGATTTTTGTTTGGAAATGAAATATTCATTTGTGCGATTCAGTTGAATGCATTTCGCAATGCATTTTGTGTACCAAAATGTCCTGAAGAACCCCTCAAATGTTTTATTTCCAGCTATATAAATAGCGCTATTCAATGGGTAAAGGCAGTGATGAGACTCTCAGTTAACTGGAACTTTCTGCCTCAGGATTGCAGAGTAATTCAGGTGGCTTTGGAGAGCTGCAAAAACAAAAAGGGTAGCAAAATGGTTGGGGAAATACTGTATCTTTGAGGACTTTATTAGTTGTAGCAACTTACATGTCAGTGCACTCGTGGCCCTTGAGCTCTACGCACTGATACGGCGTACTTCCTCGATGTAGACCAGGCATGGGCCAACTTGGGTCCTCCCTCCCTCCAGGTGTTTTGTATTCCAAGTCCCATCATTCCCCACAGCCTCAGGCCTTTTCCTTTCCCCCCTCATCTGGAAGGAAGGGGCCTAAGGCTGTGAGAAATTGTGGGAGGTGGGAGTTGGAGTTCAAAACCCCTGGAGGGAGGGCCCAAGTTTCTCCGTTTTTATTTATTGTATCAGGAGCGAACCAAGGGTACAATTGTGATTATTTAAAAACACAAAGTTTAAAAACTTGGCATTATATTAAATGTCCTTTGACCAGTAGCTAGCCACTGGAAGTGAGTGCCTCGCTCACAATAGAAGCGAACAGCAGTTTGCCCATGTCTGGTGTCCATACGGTTTCAATATCTTTTCTTGCATATGTTTCTGTTTGTAACTTTGTTCTATTGAATGAATGAATGAATGAATGAATGAATGAATGAAGGAAGGAAGGAAGGAAGGAAGGAAGGAAGGAAGGAGGTGGGAAGAGGTAGACGATACCCAAACCCAAACTACAGCAAGGGGTGTGTCTACACTGCAGAATCAATCCAGTTTTGGCACCACTTTTAATGCACTCAATGCAGTTTGATGGCCCATCTACACTGTCCTGTTATCCCAGGAGCTCATGGTTCAAAATGGAGTGGCCACACAGATTCCTCTGAAAACATGGGAGGAATCGCTACAAAGTAGGATTTTCACTTGTGGGAATATCCTGCTTCTGGCCGGAAAATGTGTATATATCGGATCTCCGTATGTCCCTTCATTTGGAAAATGCGGGATTTTCGATGTTGGTTTGTTCCCGGGTTATACACTTTGGTTCCCGATTGGGCTGTAACCTACAAACATGGCAACAGTTGATTAGAGCAGGGGTCCTCAAACTTCTTAAACAGAGGGCCAGGTCACAGTTCCTCAAACTGTTGGAGGGCCGGATTATAATTTGAAAAAAAGCATGAATGAATTTCTGTGCACAGTGCACATATCTTATTTGTAGTGCAAAAAACACTTAAAAACAATACAATAATTAAAATGAAGAACAATGTTAACAAATTAGTGTGGACCTGCTTTTGGCTGATGAGATAAGATTGTTGTTGTTGTTGTGTGCTTTCAAGTCGTTTCAGATTTAGGTTGACCCTGAGTGAGGGCCGGGTAAATGACCTTGAGGGGCCGTATTCGGCTCTCGGGCCTTAGTTTGAGGACCCCTGAATTAGAGGGTGAAACCTCTATCCTGGCAAGAGATACTTTGTCCTCCACGCGTTTAATGAAGTTTGTGACACACAAACAAAGGTTTTGCCATGTAATCCACTTGGCTCATAGAATCATAGAGTTGGAAGAGACCTCATGGGCCATCCAGTCCAACCCCCTGCCAAGAAGCAGGAATATTGCATTCAAATCACCCCTGACAGATGGCCATCCAGCCTCTGTTTAAAAGCTTCCAAAGAAGGAGCCTCCACCACACTCCGGGGCAGAGAGTTCCACTGCTGAACAGCTCTCACAGTCAGGAAGTTCTTCCTCATGTTCAGATGGAATCTCCTCTCTTGTAGTTTGAAGCCACTGTCCCGCATCCTAGTCTCCAGTGAAGCAGAAAGCAAGCTTGCTCCCTCCTTCCTGTGGCTTCCTCTCACATATTTATGCATGGCTATCATATCTCCTCTCAGCCTTCTCTTCTTCAGGCTAAACATGCCCAGCTCCTTAAGCCGCTCCTCATAGGGCTTGTTCTCCAGACCCTTGATCATGCTGTTATGATAAACACAATGAGGAACGGATATGTGTAACACCCAGGAACATCACCCCCTTTGTTCCCAGGCACAAGGACAAGACCAAACAGGAAATGACCAAACCTGTCTGGACACTCAAAGGGCCTCTGAATGAGAATAATAATGATGACGTTCTGTTCCTGGCTTGGAAGGGTCAGTCCCTGTTTAAGAGTGTAGTTCTACTCCACAAACTTTGTTTGTGTGCCACAAACTTCATTCAACATGTGCAGGATGCAGTTCCTCTTGCCAGAGGAACAAAGGTTTCACCCTCTTTGTCAACTTTTGCCATCTTTTCAGGATAAATGCAATGAGGAATAGTTAGGGATGACCCAGGAACAAAACCCATACAAACAATGCGCATATTCGTAAAAAAAAAAAAAAGCGGAAATTTTCAGCAGATGTCCCGCAGTGGCCATCTTGTGGGCTTCACAATCTCACAAGGAAGCAGCAAGTCTGGTCAGAAATCCTGGAACCAGCAGGCTTGTGTGTGGAGCTGCTCCAAGGTCCTGTTTTTTGGGGGTTTTTTGCCCCTCATGGAAAACCCACAATTTGGTGCTGCCTGGAAGCGCCCATTGTTGCAGTTTGGTGAAGGCTCAATGCTTTCCCAAAAATACAGCTTTCGGGATTCCACAGCCTTGATCCATGGCACTTCCGAAAGTGGTGCCAAATGTGCATTACATCCCTAGTGTAGACACACCCAAGAATGGGAGGGGGATTAAGATCGAGAGGCAGAGAAGTTGGGAATAAAGCTGGTGACGGGTTGCATCTTGCAAACGACTCTTATTACTAAATCGGGAAAGGATGCCCTTGCAAAATAAAACGAGAATATTCAAACCATTTGCCCAGCAAAAGACACATATGGCTCCTGTAGAAAGAAGCTCTGTTGCGTCCAATAACTGAAAAGGGAGGAAAGAAAGAAAGGCAGGCCATGGGCTCAAGGCCAGCTCCAGTTTCAAGTTTAGTTCCAGCCGTTCATCATGTAAACAGAGCATTTCTCTTCTTCTGGCGTTTCCTTCCAAAAGCGCCATTCACATCAACGCTGGGCCTTTGGAGATCTCTTCCAAGCGCTGCTCAATCATTGAACGCAGGGCTGAATACCTAAAAAGTAATTATTTATTAACACATACTGTAAAAAGGTAAAGGTTTTCCCCTGACATTAAGTCCAGTCGTGTCTGACTCTGGGACGCTGGAGCTCATCTCCGTTTCTAAGCTGAAGAGCCAGCGTTGTCCGTAGACACTTCCATGGTAATGACTGAATGGAGCACTGGAGCACTGTTACCTTCCTATTGATCTACTCACATTTGCATGTTTTTGAACTGCTAGGTTAGCATAAGCTGTGGCTGACAGCAGGAGCTCATGCTGCTCCCCAGATTTAAACCTGTGACCTTTTGGTCAAGAAGTTCAGCAGCTCAGCGGTTTAACCCACTGTGTCATCGGGGAGCATAAATACCAGCAACTGCCTAAATTGTGTAAATACCAGCATTTGGCTTAGATGCAAGGAGTTTTTTAATGCAATAAGCTATTAACATTATAGCTATTAACATATAATGGAAAAGAGATTATATATGTTATATGTTGTGCTTTTTTAGTGTTAGCCACTTTGGGTCTCATTAGAGAGATGAAGTGGGATATAAATAAATATTATTATTATTATTATTATTATTGATGTTAATATTATTAATAATAAAAGTATTATAGTGAAGGTATTATAATAAAATAAGAATTATTATTATTTTGTTATTAATAAAAGTATAATTCTATTATGTTGAAATAATATAAAATAATATGATACCATTAAAAGAATTATAAAATAATAATAAATATTAATAATGTTAATATTGTTATTAATAAGAAAAGTATAATACTATGATTTTGAAATAATATAACATTATATGATAACATTAAAAAGAATTATAATAAAGTAATAAACATAAAATATATTTTAAAATGTTTAAGTATCATTTTGGACCGGAGGGTTAGCACAGCTGGTAAATCACCAGCAATTATAAGATCGATCAACCGAAAGGTTGCAAGTTCAAAGCCCCGGGTTGGCATGAGCTGCCGACTGTCAGCCTAGCTCATTGTTTACCTAAGCAATTTGAAAACAGCTTTAGCTGTAATTAGAGAAATTGAGTGCCGCTAAAAGTGGGAGAGGTGTTTTACGACGCCATAAAGAAAAAAGATCAGAAAATGCTGGGCGACCAAAAAGGAGGAAGCCCTGACACAGTCCTAGACGCTTGGGAAATGTTCAACTTGTGATTTTTTGATATGAAATCCAGCATATAGATCTCGTTTGCTGTGACATACTGTGCTTTTGTGCCAGTAATATAATAATAATAATAATAATAATAATAATATCTATTGTTTTAGTTTTGTAAGTCTTGGAAGGCCCCCTCCCAAAGTCAGTTTCATATTCAATGCAAGGCAAGGAAGCAAGTTCAAAGACTTCTTTAGTGCTTTGCCATTCCTCTGCGAAATTAATGCACTCTCAGCATTAGTGCATTAGCCGGAAAAAGAGGAAGCAGTGCAGTTTGGGAACAGCACAGAATGCTGAGAAATGTCGTTTGGGAAGGGAGGAGCCCTGTCCAGGGAATTCAAAAGGCTCTGCCCCCAAAAGGCCATTTCCCAGGCTGCATCAGCACAAGAAAGCACCCATCAGCACCAACATAGTTTTGTTACTATTAAAAAAATTATAAAAACTTGTGCCAGCGCCCCCCAGTTTTGTAATGACTTTTGAACCATTTTGTTAATGGGCCACACACCCCTACTATGTGGAAACCTTTGCAGAAACCCTGGGAAAGAAGCACTCACTTGCGGCGTAGTTTCTTCACTTCGCGGTCTTCTTCCTCCTTCAGCTTCTGGATGAAGCTTTTCAGGACCGGCATTTCAAACTTGATGTATTGCGCAACCTGGGAGCCAAGCAAAAGGGGAGCTGGAGACCCTGGCCACTGCGTGCAAGGCCAAGAACAACCTCACAATGCTTTTTCTACAAGGCCGATCGGTGTGTATCACCGGGACAAGGCCTTGTCTCATCTCTACCTATACACCCATCTACCTGTCCATCCATCTTTCCATTCATCCATATAGACACCTGTCTGTCTGTCTGCTGATCAATCTCTATTTATTTATTCACTCATCTCCATCTCTCTCCCTATCCATCCTATCTATCTATCTATCTATCTATCTATCTATCTATCTATCTATCCATCCATCCATCCATCCATCCATCCATCCATCCACTGATCTAACTACATCTATTTGCCTCTCCATCCACCCATCCATCCATCTACTGATATTTCTACATCTATCTATTTGCCTCTCTGCCTCTATCTATCTATCTATCTATCTATCTATCTATCTATCTATCTATCTATCATCCATCCACCCATCCATATCTATCTAAATCTATCCCTATCTCTATATCTGCATCTATCTATCTATCTATCTATCTATCTATCTATCTATCTTCATATATTTATCTATCCATCCATCCACTGATCTAATTACATATTTGCCTCTCCATCCATCCATCCATCCATCCACCCACCCAAGTCTATTATGGGTAGTAGGCCCCTTTTAACCCATAGGAATTATCATCATCATCATCATCATCATCATCATCTTATTCCTATCTGTCTATCTCTATTTATCCATCCATCCATCCATCCATCCATCCATCCATCCATCCATCCATCCATCCAAATCTATCCATCCAGCTATACATCCACTGTTTGATCTATCTATATCCATCTATCCATCTATCCATCTCTCTATCTATCTATCTATCTATCTATCTATCTATCTATCTATCATCTATCCATCCATATCTATCTAAATCTATCTATATCTATATCTGCATCTATCTATCTATCTCCATATATCTATCTATCCATCCATCCATTCAATGATCTAACTATTTATTTATTTATTTATTTACGGCATTTATATGCCGCCCTTCTCACCCCGAAGGGGACTCAGAGCGGCTTACAATATATATTTTCATACAATATATTATATTATTAGCATAGTACAATATCAGTATTATATATTATTATATTCCACTATATCATTATATTGTAATATTATTAGTAATATTACATGTAATGTAAATATATAATTATAATATTGTATTATTATTACCTGTATTATATTGTATTACTACATCTATTTGCCTCTCCATCCATCCATCCAGGTCTATTATGGGTAGTAGGCCCCTTTTAACCCATAGGAATTACTGTATTTTTAACTAATGTTTAATAATTTTATTGTTAATTTTGTTGACTTGTGTTGTGGATTATCTGGTTTGTTTTTTGTATTGATTGGATGTGTTCATATTTGTTTATTTCATGTTTATGTATTCATGTTGTGAGCCATCCCAAGTCCTTTGGGGATATGGAGCGGGGTATAAATAAAGATGATGTTGGGATTATTATCTTTCTATTTCTGTTCCCCCACCCACCCATTCAATGATCTCTCTCTATCTATATATCTATCCATTGATCTATCTCCATTTATGTCTATATGTCTATCTCCATCCATCCACCCAAGTCTGTCCATCTGTCTTTTTCCATCCATCCAACTAAACCAAAGGGAACACCAACCCTCCATAGCCTTTGGAGGCCACTTCACCCGGGCCAAGGGACACTCCCCACCCCCCGGACTCACATCATAAGTGATCTCCTCCACCTGGTCCTTCTCCATCAGGAAGACCCTGGAGACCTGTTCGCAGGGGCCTTGCAGGATCCGGGCCACCAAGGGGAAGTCGGTGGCCTTCAACTTCTGCTTCTCTGCAGGAGAGGAAGGCGGTCAGAGAGAGACCCTTCATGCAGGCGGGTGGACATGCAGCCCACCGCCAAGGCTTTGCATAGCACAATATCACCAGTTTGGGAATGGGAATCAGTTTGAGCCTGCGTTGTAAACTGACCGCCAAGACAGGGCCTGAAAACCAGCTCCATAAACCATCGCTCTGCTTGCTTTTTGCTCACTCACCTCCACTGGTGTGGACAATGTAGAGGGCAAATTCTTCCGCCGAGTTTTCAATCTGAAAGCAAAAGAAGCAAAGTGAAGGTTCCTTCTATGCATTTGGCATACATTGAGTATATAGGCACAGGACTCAACCTTCCAAAGAAGTTATTTTGAAGTCCTAGAGATAGAAGAGACCCCCCCCCCCGCCCCACAAGGCCATCCAGTTCAGCCCTTTTCTACCAGGAAAGGAAGACACCATCAAAGCCCCCCCCCCCCCCCCCCCCGACAGATGGCTCTCCAGCATCTGCTTAATAATAATAATAATAATAATAATAATAATAATAAACATGTCTTGGCAGAATATGTAAAGGAAAGCAAAGAACCTGCTTTAATTGAAGTCTATGATTGAAAACTTCTCAAAGCACAGCAGACAAAGGACCAGTACAAGAAAACTGCACTCCAAACCAGAGCTGACAGCTGGGATAACAAAGCATTGCATGGGCAGTTCCTTGACAAAATTGAAGGAAAAGTTGATAAGGAGAAGACCTGGTTATGGCTCACGAATGGAACACTGAAGAAGGAGACAGAAGGCCCGATTCTTGCAGCCCAGGAGCAAGCCATCAGAACAAATGCAATTAAGGCCAGGATTGAAAAATTAGCTGATGACCCAAAATGCAGACTGTGCAAGGAAGCGGATGAAACCATGGACCATATCCTCAGCTGCTGCAAGAAAATTGCACAGATGGACTACAAACAAAGGCACAACTCTGTGGCCCAAATGATTCACTGGAATTTATGTCACAAGTACCACCTGCCAGCAGTAAAAAATTGGTGGGATCATAAACCTGCAGAGGTAGTGGAAAATGAACACCCAAAAATACTGTGGGACCTTCGAATCCAGACTGACAAAGTTTTGGAACACAATACACCAGACATCACAATTGTGGAAAAGAAAAAAGTTTGGATGATTGATATCGCCATACCAGGTGACAGTCACATTGAGGAAAAACAACAGGAAAAACTCAGCCGCTATCAAGATCTCAAAATCGAACTGCAAAGGCTCTGGCATAAACCAGTCCAGGTGGTCCCAGTGGTCATCGGCATACTGGGTGCTGTGCCAAAAGACCTCAGCCAGCATTTGGAAACAATAAACATTGACAAAATCATGATCTGTCAACTGCAAAAGGCCACCTTACTTGGATCTGCACACATCATTTGAAAATACATCACACAGTCCTAGATGCTTGGGAAGTGTTCGACTTGTGATTTTTTGGTACGAAATCCAGCATATAGATCTCGTTTGCTGTGACATACTGTGTTTTTGTGTAAAATAATAATAATAATAATAATAATAATAATAATAATACAGTTGGAAAGGACCCCTAAAAGCCACCCAGTCCAACCCCCTTCCGCCTTCAGGCAGTAAAAGCAGAATCAAAGCACTCTTGACAGGTGGTCATCCAGCCTCTGTTGAAAAATAACAATAGGACTATGGAATCCTAGATTTGGAAGGAACCTCTAAAGGTCCAAAGACACACTTTGGATAAAGAAAAAGGGGGATCTTGGAAGAGGAATCAATGGAGGAGAGCCAAACGTGCCTTGAATTTGTTGAGCAGGAGCTTGAGGACTTGCGGGGTTGTCATGGTGCTGTTGATCCGGACGTTGGTGACGGAGCCATAAGCCGGAGTGAAAACCGACGTCTGTGGAAAAGAAAAAATAAATTGTCATACAGAACAACAAGACTTTATGACGCCTTCCTGTGTCCACCTCAAAGGCACCTCCAAGAACTGAACTATTATTTACTGCTCTATTTACTGACAGGTTGTCCTTGTAATATAATGTAGAATACAGAAAAGTTTTATTTTTATGAGCTTCTGGTGCATTAACTATATTGCAGATTCAGATGAGAAGTGATCCCCAAAAGTATTGCAAACAATGCAAAATATAATGGTGTCCGATATACAGGTTTCTGTGTTGTTGTTTTGTTGTTGTTGCTGTTGTGCAGATGCATTGAAGTCAATGGAGAGAAATTCTATGGTCACATTGAACTGGAATCCAATTGAATCAAGTAGCTTCCCAGGAGGACTTTGTATTGATTATTCCTAAATTGGGATGGGTGCATCTACACTGAGGAATTAATGCAGTTTGGCATCGCTTTCACTGCCACAGCTGCAAGTTTGGCAAGGCACCGGCTCTCTCTGACAGGAATCAAAGGCCTTGACTAATGGCAACTTCCAGGGTATTGTCATCTTAAGCAATGATGCTGGTTTAAACCGCATTAATTCTACAATACAGATGCATCCAGAAACAGGCTCCAAAAAGTCTGCAAAACTACAACTCCCAGGGTGTCGTACCATTTATTACAAGAGGTGTCCAAACTGCATTAATTCTACCCTGTAGATGCACAACTCTGTCATTAAGGGGAGCAGAAAGTGGGTAGAGAAGGAGGGAGAGAAAGAGGGAAGGAGATAAAGACGTAGAGAAGGAAGGAAGGAGAGAAGGAGGGAGAGAAAGAGGGGGAGAAAGAGGGAAAGAAGGAGGGAAGGAGAGAAGGAAAGAAAGAGGGAAAGAAGGGAAAGAAGGAGGGAAGAAGAGAAAGAAGGAAAGAAAGAAGGGTAGCGAAGAAAGGGAGAAGAAGGGAGAGAATGAAATTAAAAAGTGAAAGAGGGAAGGAAGGAGAGAAGGAATGAAAGAGAGAAAGAGGGAAGGAAGGAAAGAGACAAGGAAGGATGGAACCAAAGAGCAAAGGAAGCAAGAAAAGAAACAGGTAGAGAAGGAAGAAAGAAGAAGGGAAAGAAAAGAGGGAGGAAAGGAAAGACTGAGGAAAGGAAGGAAGGAGAGAAAGATAGAAGGAGAGAAAGAGGGAGGGAAGGTTGGCCACAGCAATGTGTATAGCTAGTATATATATCTCTCCTTTTGTACCATTAAAACTACTCAGATACATGCAATCTTATATCCACCCAGAGTTAGTATTAGATCTATATAGGGTATTGAACTCAAGTCTAATGCACCACTGAATCTAATGCGCACCTCCATTTACAAAACCCTGAAACCAAAAGAAGTATTTGGTGCTGAATTTAATGTGCAGCAGCAGAAGGTGTGCTTTTTGTAATCACAGAATTCTGCCTGCTTAGATCCCTTCTTGAAAAGCAAAAGTGTTATTGCACCAAAGCTTCCAATGATGGAAAAGTCAACCTTGGGGTGCATCTCTGCTGCAGAGTGAATGCACTTTAATTGCCTTGGTTCAATGCTATGGAGTCATGGGGGATGTAGCTTTACAAGGCCTTGAGCTTTCTCTGCTAAAGAATGCTGGTGCCTCATCAAACTACAAATCCCAGGACTGCATAGCATTGAGCCAGGGCCAAGAAAGGAGAGATGGCGTCCCTCAAAGAGGAGCTCCTGGTGCAGCTTCCCCTTTGGCTTTAGCTCTGCATCACGATGATCACCATATGATGCGAATGCAATGCGCAGCCTCCTTTCAGGAAGGTCATTGAGCCCAAAAAAAGGTGAGCATTAGTTGCGAATCAATCGGGTAGTTCTTTCTTCATATGTTTGGAGCCATTGTCAACCATTGCAAAGGATGGAAAAGAAGGGGAAAAAGGGCCAAAGGGCTCACTTTGTGGTTGTAGAAATGGCCGTTGATGGAGAAGCGGTGGCGCCTGATGCGGCGCTGCTCACTGGGCGTGCGGAGGTTCCCCCTGCGGCGTACGCCCACATCACTCCGGGTGCGCATCAGCTGTGGGGCCTCCTCTGGCTGGGGCTGGCGCTCCTGCTCATCTGTAAACAACAACAACAACAATCACAGAATCATAGAGACAGAAGGGGTCCCTCAAAGGACAGCCAGTCCACAAAAAACAACAGCAAAAACAACAATAATAATAATAATATAATTTTAGAGGTGGAAGAAACCCCAAGGGCCATCTAGTCCAACCCCCTTTGGCCATATAGGAAGATACCATCCAAGCCCTCCAAACAGATGGCCATACACCTCTGTTTACTACTACTACTACTACTACTACTACTACTACTACTACTACTAATAATAATAATAATTGAAAACCTTGGAAATAACAACAGAAATTATCACTGAAAGAGTGAAGAAAGTCAAGAACTTGACATCACCTGGCAATGATCAACTGCACGGATTTTGGCTTAAATATCTGATTAGCCTGTACGCAAAAATGGCTGAACAATTCAATGAGAAACATTGGCAAATGATAACAACTGGGAAGACATATTTGATACAGAAAGATCCAGCAAAAGGGAAACTACAGGCTAATAACATGTCTGCCTACAATATTCAAACTGCTGACAGGCATAATAGCTGATTAAATCCAGGATTACTTGGAGGAAAATAACATCTTGCCAATAGAACAAAAAGGCAATAAAAGAAGAAGCAGGGACACGAAAGATCAGCTTCTAATTGACAAAATGATACTGGAGAATTGCAAAAGCTGCAAAACAAAGCTCTATAAAACTAGGATTGATTACAAAAAAGCATTTGACTCATTGACACATTGTTGGATTATCAAATGTCTAGATGTCATCGGGGTTTGTGAAAATATTAGAAAGTTCACTGAAAATGCAATGAAACAATGGAAAACTGAGTTGTTTGTGGGCAATGAAAGATATGGAACTGTTAACATCAAGAGAGGAATTTTCCAGGGTGACTCACTGTCACCACTGCTGTTCATCATTACAATGATCCCACCGTCAGTAATTCTACAGAAAACAAACCTGGGCAACCAACAACAAGAAATTCACCAAAAAAATTCTTACTTGCTGTACATGGATGATCTAAAGCTTTATGGAAAATCAGAAACAGAAATCCAGTCACTGACCAACCCAGTCAGAATCTTTAGCATTGACATCAGTAGGTAGTTTGGCCTAGACAAATGTGCCACAGTGTGCTAAGAGGAAGGCACATCAAGCAAATCCTGACCGGGACCACCTTCCATCTGGAAACCAATGTCCTTACTGTGGGAGAACATGCGGGTCAAGAATAGGGCTCCACGGTCACCTACATACCCACCGCAAGTACACTGAACTTATTCAGTCAACGAGGGATCGCCTAACGAACTAACTTACTAACTAATTTATTATTATTGATGTTACTATTAGACTTCTAGAGTTGGAAGGGGCCCCAAGAGCCACCCAGTCCACCCAACTTCTGTCAGGCAGGAAGACACCATCAAAGTCCTCCCAACAGATTGCCACTCAGCCCCTCTTTAATAATAATGATAATGATAATAGGGCCACCCAGTCCAACCCCCTTCTGCCAGGCAGGAAGGCACCATCAATATTAATATTAATATTAATAATAATAATAATAATAATAATAATAGAATCCTATAGTTGGAAAGAACCCTCAAAGGACATCCAGTCCAATCCCCTTCTGCCAGGCAAGGAAGCACCATCAAAGCCCTTCCAACAGATGGCCACCCAGTCCCTCTTTAATAATAACAATAATAGAGAGGTGTCCTCCAAAGACCATCTAGTCCACCCTTCTATCAGAAAAGAAGGCACCCTCTAAGCCTTCCCACCTCTGTTTAATAATAATAATAATAATAATAATAATAATAATAATAATACAGAATCCTAGAGTTGGAAGAGTCCTCAAGGGCTCTTATATAATCTTGGCAAGAAGTCACATTCAAAGACGTCCTGACAGATGGCCATACAACCTCTGCGGAAAAACCGCCAGAGAAAGAGACAGATTATTATTATTATTATTATTATTATTATTATTATTATTATAATATATGCCTCTTTTTCTCTCTTAAAAGAGACTCAAAAGGAAGTTTGCAAGGGGTCTGGAATGAAATCCCTCCATTTTTAATGGGCTCCTTGAATTCCCCTATATATGTGTGTGTGTGTATGGGATTAGCCCGTGCATCCTTCATTCATCCCTCTTTGCAGCCCTTAATAAATAGGTTTGCTGTTTTAGGAAGTAAAAAATAAAGCAAGGAGACATTTCGGTAAATGGGGCCACAGGAGATGCAAAGGGAGACCACTTGCAGTTTGCACAAGAAAGCTATATAGACCTTGCAAACCTACAACTCCCAGGGTGCCATCCCATTGAGCCATGGCAGTTCAAATGGCATCAGGATGCATTCCTTCTATGGGAGGTATCATTAGTGCTGAATGCCACTGGCTTAATACTTCCTTGGAGAGAGATATTGTTAAAGTTCGGACTGAAACCCGGAGCTGATCCGACATTTTTCCCTCCTCCTCCTCACCGGGTCCGACATCGACTCCATCGCCGTCCAAAGAGGGTTCGGCCTCCGTCACCTGGATGTCTGGCAAAGTCGAGGGCTTTATGACGGACCTAAGAGACCAAAATAGAAAGATTTCAGAGCAAAATGATCATAGTTTCCGCTGGGAAAACGCTTAATGGGGGTTGCTGTGGGTTTCCCGGGCTGTATGTCCAATGTATTCCAGCAGCATTGTCTCCTGACGTTTCGCCTGCATCTGTGGCTAATGCCATTTTCATAGGATCTCATGTGAGTCGAGCAAGTGGAGTGTATAATAATATTTTATTTATATCCCACCGCCACCTCCCTGAAGGGACTCGGGGCGGCTTCCAAAGCACTCCATGGTGCACATATAACACACAACAGGTAAAATTGGTACAAAAGTATAAAACAAGTCACATAAAATTGTAACAAAAACCCCCGTCAACACATGTAGCATATATTCAAAACAATACAATTTTAAAACAACAGTAGATAAAACTAACTGCTGTCAATTCTCATGTGCCAAGTGTCAGCCTATGGAATGATGTCCAGGGTGGGAGAAAAAACCCTTGTCTGTTTGAAGCAAGTGTGAATGCTTCAGCGAGCAATCTTGAATAGCACTGAGTAGACTTCCAGCTGCAAAGTCAATCCATGAAGGTCTCTGCATAGAGGCAGTAAAGCAAGTGGGCTGTATCCATTCCTGTGGAAGAATGTCCAGGGTGGGAGATAGAATCCTTGACTGTTTAAAACAAGTGTGAATGTTTCAATGAGGAAACATGAATAGCACTGAGTAGCCATGTATCTGCAAAATCAGTCAGTGAGGGTCTCTGCCTAGAGGTGGCCTGGCCTCTGTTGCCTGGAGGCATCCTTTCTTTGGGAGTTGTTGACTGATTCTTGATTTTGTTTCATTATTTCCTGTTTTGATTCTGGTGTTTTTTAATACTGGTACCCAGATTGTGTTCATTTTCCTGCTTTCAGAGATTCATTTCCTGAAGTAGTTTTCTGTGTTAAAACTTTAAGACTTGTAACCCAGAAGTTTTTAAGACCTCTTCTGAAACGTAACCACAAACTTTTTGTATGCCAGATTTTTACTGAAACCATTAAGCATTTGTACCTGAAATATTCAAGTCTGTTCAATAGAAGTTCTTGTTATTTTTACCAACTTATACCAGCCTCAGTGTGAATACCTTTGTGGTCAAAGTGTTATTCAAGTCAGCTTTTAACAGCCTATCGCGACACAGTGTGGGTCACAGAACAATCTCTCAATAATAACTCAGCCTGTTCAGTAGTAATATGGTGGCAGTGGAAATCTTTTAAAGAATCATTTTAAGTCTCTCAGTTCCAGTGGTTCCCAGTTACTAGCTTTTAAATATTCAGTTGGTTCAACAACCATACTCCCTCTATATTCTTTGGTGAGCTAATCTGTAGTGGTGTCATCGTTATAATTTGGTAGGCTGCTGTGTGGTCATTATAATTTGGTGAAGCAGAGTTGGGAGTTTTATTATTGAATAAAATTCCCTACTTTTCCCTACAGTTGGTTATACCTGACATGGTGGTTGTCAGGGTGGTCCAGCATTTCTGTATTCTCCAATGATACTCTGTGTCCAGGTTAGTTCACCAATGCCGCATACTAGGCCAGAAACACCTTTTCACCCAGCATCACACAGAGTCCAGGAGTAGTAGTGAACTACAGACCCACTAAGAAAATCCAACAAATGCTCTATTCAGCAAATGCTCTATTCATCTCTGCAGGAATATACCGTATACCATGCAGCTGTGGACAAAGAAGTCTCCATGGGGACCACCAAACACAGCGTTGCCCAAACATGAATCAAGGAACATGAAAGGCACTGCAGGCTACTTCAACCAGAGAAGTCAGCCATAGCATAGCACCTGATGAACTAACATGGGCACAGAGTATTATTGGAGAACACAGAAATGCTGGACCACTCTCACAACCACCATGTCAGGCTACACAGAGGAGCCATTGAAATCCACAAGCATGTGGACAATATCAACAGAAAGGAGGAAACCATGAAAATGAACAAAATTTTGCTACCAGCATTAAAAAAATCTCTAAAATTATAACAGCAAATAAAGACAGGGGAGCTCCAGACAAGAAACAATCAAGGAACGCCTAATCACCTCTCAACAAGTGCGACGGAAAGGAGGAAACCATGACAGTGAACACAATCTGGTTGCTAGTATTAAAAAAAAAAAAACACCAGAATCAAGACAGTAAATAAGGAACGTCTCTCAGAAATAGGGGGACTCCAGACAGCAATCAATCAAGGGTCAGTCAACACCTCCCAGAGGGTATCTCCAGGCAACAACAGCCAGGCCGCCTCTATGTAGATACCCTCACTGATGAACTTTGCAGCTTCATAGCTACTCAATGTTATTCAAGCTTGGCTATTGCAACATCCACACTTGCTTCAAACAGACAAGGGTTCTTCCTCCCACCCTGGACATCATTCCACGAGATAGATAGATAGATTAGATAGAGATATAGATACACACACACACACCACTTTATTGTCTCATATCAGATCCTGTGAAGATGGCATTAGTCACAGATGCAGGCAAAACGTCAGGAGGGAATGAATGCTGCAACGTGGCCATACAGCCTGAAAACCCGACGGCAATCCAGTGATTCTGGCCAGGAAAGCCTTCGACAACAACTCTCAATTATCTCGCAACCTGAGATCATTAGATGGAAGCTTACACAGGCCTGACGTGCCCACTAGGATCTATATATATCCTTAGTAACCTATCCTTATTCCAAAAGAGGCAGAGGGAGCTGAGAAGTTGCAGGCTGCAAATACATATCCCCATATTGTTTTTTGTATTTGAGAAGCGGAAGGAAAGTGGATCTACACTGTAGAGTCAATGCAGTTTGATACCACTTCAACTGCCATGTAATAAATATAATAAATAAATATACCCCTAAGGCAGGCATGGGCAAAGTTTGGCCCTTCCACCAGGTGTTTTTGGACTTCAAGGGCTGGCTTGTAGCACCACCTAATCACCACCTAATCACCAGCTGCAATACATCACTGCCGACTGGAAGGTGACAGGTTCGAAGCCCAAGTCCAACCGAGCACCCGACTGTTAAGCCTAGCTCACTGTCCACCCAAACAGTTCAAAAACAGCTGAGCTGTGAGTAGAAAAATTAGAAACCGCTTAAAGCGGGTAGGTATTTTAGGACACCATAAAAACGCCAGCGGTCAAAGACCAAGGAGGGAATATGATCTAATGACTCGGTATCATAGCTGATGCAGTGACAGCTCCCCCTGTGGCCAGAACCAAGTATAACCTCCAGGCACCAAAGTGAAAATGCCAAAAATATCTCTACCTGTCTGCTTGTCTGCATGTTTAGAAAACGGCAGAATGTTTGCCGTGTATGTGTGCATTATGATCCACTCTGAGTTCCCTTTGGGATGAGAAGGACAAAATATAAATACTGTAAATAAACAAACAAACAAACAAATAAATCCCACAATTCCTAACAGCCGGTATTATATTAGTATTATTATTACCATTATCATCATCATCATTATAATTCTATTATTATTATGTTATATTGTTATTATATTACTACTAGAGTACTATTTATTTATTATACTAGCCATCCCCTGCCACGCATTGCTGTGACCCAGTCTGTGCACACGTGTTTTGTATATGTATGTATGTATGTATGTATGTGTATGTGTGTATATATGTGGTTTTGCGCATGCATTGTAATGTTTTTTTTTGGGGGGGGGGGGGTTGGCTGTTTAAGTCTCTTCTGGTGTGTTTTTCAGTGTTTTTATGAGTGATGGTCACTTGTTGGCCTGATAGGTGTATTGTGTCCAAATTTGGTGTTAATTCGTCCAGTGTTTTTTGAGTTATGTTAATTCCACAAATGAACATTACATTTTTATTTATATAGATTATTTTATTTTTGGGCAGGTTTTTTTTGGCTGTTTAAGTCTCTTCTGGTGTGTTTTTCAGTGTTTTTATAAGTGATGGTCACTCGTTGGCCTGACAGGTGTATTGTGTCCAAATTTGGTGTTAATTTGCCCAGTGGTTTTTGAGTTATGTTAATTCCACAAATGAACATTACATTTTTATTTATATAGATTATTATTTTATAATCTATATAAATAAATTATATAGTGCTCTAGTAATAATATAATAATAATATAACATAATAATAATAGAATTATAAGAATTATAATGATGATGATTATTATTTCATTTTATTATTACATGTTATTATTGCATTATTATTATTATTATTATTATTATTATTATTATTATTTTGGGAATTGTGGGCACTGAAATCCAAAACACCTGGAGGGTGGAAATGCCCTAAAGAGATGGTCTTGCAAGTAAAAATAAAATGGTGGGGGGGGGGGGGAGCATTATTATTATGTTCAATTTGCAGCCCCTGATCACATTTTTCCTCCTGCAGCACACTGGACACCTCCCTTAAAGTTCGGAGTAAACTCAAACCCAAAGCAGGCCCAATGCGCCAATGGCCTTTGCCATGTGCAACCTGCCACCCAGCCTTCCCCAAAGGTGTGTGATATGCAACGTGCAACCTAGAATCATAGAATCATAGAATCAAAGAGTTGGAAGAGACCTCATGGGCCATCCAGTCCAACCCCCTGCCAAAAAGCAGGAATATTGCATTTAAATCACCCCTGACAGATGGCCATCCAGCCTCTGTTTAAAAGCTTCCAAAGAAGGAGCCTCCACCACACTCCGGGGCAGAGAGTTCCACTGCTGAACCTTCCCCCTGACTTCCCCAAATGCTTACCCGCGTGGGCCCAGGTTGCAGCCGGAGTGCCAGGAGGAGGAGGAGGGCGGTGGGCGCAGGCGCTGGTGGTCGTCCTGCATCTGAAGGCGGATGGGGCGGCGCAGCCCCCAGCACACGTTCAGCAGGCCCTCCACGAGCAGCTCCCCTTCCTCCTGCAGCAAGGCAAAGGAAGCACATGTTGGAAGGGTCCCACCACTCATTCAGCCCAGGCAGCCACCCAGCCTTGGCTATAAAGTCTTCGCAGAATCCTGGAAGGGGCCCCAGAGGCCATCCAGCACAGCTCCCTGCAAAGGTACACAATCCAAGCCCTCCCAACAGAGGGTCATCCAGCCTCTGCTTAACAACAACAGCAACAACAATAATAGAACTATAGAATCCTAGAGTTGGAAGGGATCTCCCAAAGGTCATCTAGTCCATCCGCATTTTGCTCCATGCAAAGGCACACAACAGAATTTCTGTTCCTTTGTGACAAAGGCCATTTACGTCGCAGGCACGTCTGGTGGGGACACGAGACAGGGCCTTTTCTGTGGTGGCCCCCTGACTCTGGAACACCCTACCCAAAGATCCTAGACAGGCCCCTACATTGGCAGTCTTTAGGAAGAACTTGAAGACCTGGCTGTTCTGATGTGCCTTTCCAGAATAGGAAAACTCCAACAAGTCCCAGAAGCACTTTAGTAGAAATTAAGATTGCTGGCACACTGCCCTTAACCTATAATTCTTCATATCACCTGTCACATCAGCACTTTTAATCTGTACCCATTACTCTGGCCCGGCCCAATTTTATTGTGTCTTGGTGTATTGTTTTATTAGTTGTTGTTTTAATATTGCTTTAACTGTTTTTGATTTGCTTTAAGTTGTGTATTGTTATGCTATGTTTTGAGGCCTTGGCCTTTGTAAGCCGCATCGAGTCCTTCGGGAGATGCTAGCAGGGTACAAATAAAGTTAATAATAATAATAATAATAATAATAATAATAATAATAATAATAAATAATTTCTAATTGGTACTATCAAACATGGGAAAAGTTAACGAAACTGCACAAACTTTGTCTTTGTGTGAAGGACATTATCCTGCAGCATATCTATATAAATAAAAAATTAATGTTCGTTTGTGGGATTAACATAACTCAAAAACCACTGGACGAATTGACACCAAATTTGGACACAAGACACCTTCTTCTCTTCCGCAGCACATTTTGCTCTAGTTTTCCAATGAATATCTCATCATCGAGTCTCAACCACAAAAAATACGTTTCTGGATTGGAACAACTCCTTTCAAAGTCAGGACCGCACAAATAAACAGAAAATAACACTTTCAAGGTAGGAGCAGAACATGTTTCAAAAGTTGTTCCATAGTGATAATCCAAACCCTGCTGACATATAGCCATCCATCCATCCAGCCGCATCTTAGAAACCTTCATAGTACCGTAGAGTTGGAAGGGACCCTCAAAGGCCATCCAATTCACCCCCATTTCGCTCCCTGCAAAAGGCCATCCATTCCAACTGCCTTGTTTCTGACATAGAGGAAGGCACCATTCAAGCCCTCCTGGCAGATGGCCATCCTGCCCCGCCTTGAAAACCTGCAGAGAAGGAATCTCTATTGGACTCCACCGTTAATCGGAGAGTTCCCTTCGTCCCCTTCTGTCCAGCCTTTACGCTGTTTGAACTATTACCCAGAAAGGCTTTAAAGGGTAGAGAAATGAATCTTGGCCAGAGGATCAATGGGAACTTCCTCAAGACTTTACCTCTCGGTGCCGCAGCTGCAAATTCTGCCCTTCGTAGTACAAGTTGTATGTCTTCAAGTGCAACAGCAACTCATTCCTGGAAGGGAGGAAGGAAGGAAATCAGAAGGGGCTTCACTGAGCCTTTGTTTCACTTGCAACACCAAGCCCAAGGGTAGATTTTTAAAAATATATTTATGATTTTTAATATATTTATTAATATATTAAAATAATAAATATATTAATAAATTTATTCATTTATTATTTATCATATTTGTTATATTTTATAACCATTATTATATTTATTCTGCATTGTATTTAAGGTATTTATTCTTTATATTTATTATATTTAATAACCAGTATTTATGATTTGTTATATTCTACAACCATTATTTGTTATATTTATTTAGATTCATTATGTATCATATTTATGATATGATATGTATTATTTATTATATTACTATAACCATTACATATTATATTCATTTGTGTTATGCATTATAATTATGATATGCATTATTTCTAGGATTCTATTATTTCTAGGATTCTATTATTATTATATTTATGATATGCATTATTTCATAATGCATATCATAAATATAATAATAATAGAATCCTAGAGTGGAAAGGGACCCCCAAAGGCCATCTAGTCCACCCGCCTTCTGTCAAAAAGGAAGGCACCTTCAGAACTTTCCCCACAGATGGTCACCCATCCAATGTTTAACAACAGAATCCTAGATTTGGAATGGACCACCAAAAAACATCCAGTCCAGTCCATTTTTATAACCATTTTTATGGTGATATTTTATAACCATAATTTCTTATATTTATTTATATGCATCATGTATTATAATTTAATAGTTGTTATATTATTATATCAACTATTTCTTATATTTATTTATATTTATTATGTATTATATTTATGATATTTATTATTTGATATTTTATAATCATGATTTATTATATATATTTATTCACCGGAGCCCCCGGTGGCGCAGTGGGTTAAACTCCTGTGCCGGCAGGACTGAAGACCGACAGGTTGCAGGTTCAAATCCAGGGAGAGGTGGATGAGCTCCCTCTATCAGCTCCAGCTCCTCATGCGGGGACATGAGAGAAGCCTCCCACAAGGATGATTAAAACATCAAATCATCTAGGCGTCCCCTGGGCAACATTCTTGCAGACAGCCAATTCTCTCACACCAGAAGTGACTTACAGTCTCTCAAGTCGCTCCTGACATGACTCTATATATATATATATATATATATATATATATATATATATACACACACACACACACACACATACATATATACATATACACATACATACATAGACATATATAGAGTATTATTATCATTATTTATTTATTATATTATATATTATATTATATTATATTTATTATCTATTTATTATTTATTATAATTATTAGACTTATTATGTATTATATCAATGATATTTATTTTTGATATTTGATAGCCATTATTTTATATTTATTTAGATTCATTCCTTATTATACTGTATTCATTACTCATATTTATTTAGATTCATGACATTTATATTTATCTCAATACATATAAATATAATAATGTATTTCTCTCCCTTTTTTTGCAAATAGGAATCTCCACAAAAGGAAGACTCCCCTAATGAGTATTTCTGGACTCTTTGGCATAATATAATATAATATAATATTACATTATATTATATCCGAACTGATATAAGTGAACGGAATCCGAACGGATTCTCCCCTATGAACCATCAAGGTTATTAAGATCTTCTGGAGGGGCCCTGCTCTGCAATCGCGTTTGGTGGGGACGAGGGACAGGGCCTTTTCGGTGGTGGCTCCTCGGCTTTGGAACTCCCTCCCGATGGAGATTAGATCTGTCTCCTCCCTCCTTACATTTAGAAAGCTGGTAAAAACATAGCTTTGGGATATTGCATTTGCAGAATGCTGACTAAGTCAATAACTATTGACCTTTCTGGCAGATGGCGATGAATTTGTGATTCTTGTGGACGAACCGATTTTTGCTGTAACCTGTATTAATTGTATGAATTGTATTTTAATGTGTTTATATTGATGATTTATGTTTTTCTTATTGTATTGAACTTATGTTGTTAGCCAGCCTGAGTCCCTCCTTGGAGGTGAGAAGACCGGGGTATAAAAACTCCAAATAAATATATAATATAATATAATATAATATAATATAATATAATATAATATAATATAATATAATATAATATAATATAATATAATATAATATAATATAATATAATATAATATAATATAATATAATATAATACATTAAAATACAATACATTAAAATATAATATAATATAATATAATAGATATTATTGTCAATATATTAGAAGGGAATATTCTGTGGGACTCACTTGTTGATGTACTTGTCTTGGCCGCAAGGGACCAAAGAGGCATCGCCAATGTAATCCATCCTTGGGGAACGTCATTCATTGGGGGAAAAGGCCTGCGGATCAAGCAAGAAAAAGCCATTTCAATGCACTAGCAATGGATTACGGCATAGGAAGGATGGGAGACTCTATACTGGAGAAGGAATGCAATTTGGTACTGCTAGGCAACGATATGGGGTCTTGGGAATTGTAGTTTTCCTAAGGTCTTTGCTGTTGCACCATCAAACCACACATCCCTTTTTTGTAACTCTTTTAACTGCTGCGGTGAAATGCTACGGGGCCCTGGGAGTTGTAGTTTTCCTAAGGCCTTTGCTGCTGTCCCACCAAACTATGCATCCCATAGATGCAGGCGAAACGTCAGGAGAGAATGCCTCTAGACCATGGCCATATAGCCCGAAAAAACCTACAACAACCCTATGCATCCCTTTTTTGCAAATCGACAGCGTATTATTGCAAAAGACTGGCTACAGGAAGCTCCAGCGCTTCAATCTGCTGCACATTGTTTTTGCAGAGGCAAAGCACTAAGAATACATCAGAAGGGCTTTCAAAAGAAAGACCTACTTCCTCTTTCTTCTCAGTTTCTTAGCCGACTCTACAATGCAGAAACTGCACCCGTTTCCTCCCATCTGAGACCGTATCCGCACGGCTGAACAAATGCAGTTTGATGTCTCTGTCCATAGATTCAGTCAAAATATCCTCAAAATCAAACTTTCATTGGTCTGTTTTATATGCAAGGGAGGATCCATTTTCAATTTCATTTGAATCTGTATTTTGTCAGTGGATTTTAAATTCTATTCATTTATTTACTCTATTTGCATCCTGCCTTTTTCGACCCCGAAGGGGACTCAAGGCAGCTTTACATATAGCAACTATTTGATGCTTTTACACAACAGACAATTAATAGAATCATAGAATCAAAGAGTTGGAAGAGACCTCATGGGCCATCCAGTCCAACCCCATTCTGCCAAGAAGCAGGAATATTGCATTCAAATCACCCCTGACAGATGGCCATCCAGCCTCTGTTTAAAAGCTTCCAAAGAAGGAGCCTCCACCACACTCCGGGGCAGAGAGTTCCACTACTGAACGGCTTTCACAGGAAATTCTTAATCATTTTCAGATGGAATCTCCTTTATTGTAGTTTGAAGCCATTGTTCCTCGTCCTAGTCTCCAGGGAAGCAGAAAACAAGCTTGCTCCCTCCTCCCTGTGGCTTCCTCTCACATATTTATACATGGCTATCATATCTCCTCTCAGCCTTCTCTTCTTCAGGATAAACATGCCCAGCTCCTTAAGCCGCTCCTCATAGAGCTTGTTCTCCAGACCCTTGATCATTTTAGTCTCCCTCCTCTGGACACATTCCAGCTTGTCAATATCTCTCTTGGATTGTGGTGCCCAGAATTGGACACAATATTCCAGATGTGGTCTAACCAAAGCAGAATAGAGCATGGGGAGCATGACTTCCCTAGATCTAGACACTATGCTTCTATTGATGCAGGCCAAAATCCCATTGACTTTTTTTTGCTGCCGCATGACATTGTTGGCTCATGTTTAACTTGTTGTCCACGAGGACTCCAAGATCTTTTTCACTGGAACACTATGCTAGACACTATGCTCCTATTGATGCAATACATTTAAGTTAAAAATTAAACATTAGAGTTAAAACACACATTAAAATATATAAACATTATAATCACTATTAAAAACATGCCATCCAAAATCGTAATCCGGGGCCATTCCAAGCATCTCTGCACATACTTAATATTATTGTATTGTATAGCCGGTCTGAATCCCTCTACGGAGGTGAGAAGATCGGGATATAAAAGTTTTAAATAAAATAAATAATAAATAAATTGTAGTTCATCTCCAAAGGCTTGGCTCCAGAGACAGGTTTTCGCTTTCCTTCTGAAGGTCAGGAGAGGGGGGTGATCTAACATCGCAGCCGAAAGGCCACCATGGAGAAGGAAGGCCCTGCCTTTCGTCTCCACCAGTCGCACCTCCGTTCGTTCCTCTTCAAATTCTACAGCACTGCTGGTCACAGCTGACTTCCAGCTCAAGGGCCAGGGTTTCCTAATTCTCTGTGTCTATGCCACAGTTTTTAAGGTTGGGTGCTTCAGTCAGATGCTTCACCAGATCATTTCTGATAGCAAAGCCAACTCCGTGTATTCTTCATTCTTGTTCAGGCAGTCCCTTCCAAAAGAAGGTGTAGCCTCCTTCTTCTTCCTTCAGCTGTCCCTCTCCTGCTCTCCGGGTCTCCTGAAGGGCTGCTATGTCGATGTTAAAGCGTCCCAGCTCCCTTGCAATGATAGCAGTTCGGCATTCGGGGCGTTCGCTGTCAATGTTGTCCATCGGTGTTCGTACGTTCCATGTTCCAAAGTTTATTTTTCTTTTATGGCCACAGGGTGGTGACCCCACTGGACGCAGCAGTCCAGTCAGGGATAAGAGAAGCAGACTATGTTTAGGGCACCTTTTCTAGCCCCTTCCCCATGTGGGGTGAGCAGAGTGTATCCTCAAAAGAGCTGCCTAGTCATGGATACAGCCGCCGAGCTACTCAACTGCCTTGGACCTTGAGGTAGAACGACTGAGTCCGTATCCACCACTCATGTGCCAGTCTGTGACCAGGGGTTTCCAGATTTCACATCCATGGAATTCTGCTCAGTATTTCCTTCATTTTTTGGAAATCAGCTCTCCTAAAGTCCAGAATGCAGGTTTGACTTGTTTTAGTTTCAGCCTTCCTTCATATTGTAAACTGCAGGAGCACATGGTCACTTGCCCCAAAGGATCTGACCACTTCAATTGCATTGATCAGGTCCTCTGCATTTGTTAGGATGAGATCAAGAGTAGCCGACCCCCTTGTTGCCTCTTCTACCTTCTGGACCATAAAATTGTCTTCAAGGCATGCGAGGAATTTGTTGGACTTTGTACTCTTGGCCGAGTTTGTTTCCAGCAAATATCGGGATAGCAGAAATTGCCCATGACTACTTTATCTCTTCTTTGTGCCTGTTCAGTTAACTGTTGACAGAAAGCTTCATCGAGTTTTTCGTCCTGGCTTGGAGGTGTGTAATAGACACCCACAATGAGATCTTTTTGAGTCCCGGTTCCCTTGATTCTTATCCAGATGGTTTCAAGCTGGTTTTCTGGATTGTAGTCTCTGATGATGACCTGGGAAGGAATCCCACTGGAGCATTGCAGCACACCCAAATACCTGGGAATCACTCTTGAGCATGCTCTGACTTACAAGAAGCACTGCTTGACTATCAAGCAAAAAGTGGGTGCTAGAAATAACATAATGCAAAAGCTGACTGGCACAACCAGACGCAGTGAAGGCATCGGCCCTTGCGCTTTGCTATTCTCCTGCTGAGTACGCATGCCCAGTGTGGAACACATCTCACTATGCTAGAACAGTGGATGTGGCTCTTAATGCGACATGCCGCATTATCACAGGATGTCTACACCCAACACCACTGGAGAAATTACACTGTTTGGCTGGTATTGCACCACCTGACATCCATCAGGAAGTAGCAGCCAAGAATGAAAGGGCCAAGGCAGTGACATCTCCAGCCCATCCTCTGTATGGATACCAGCCAGAATGCCAACGCCTTAAATCAAGCTTCCTAAAATCTACAGAAATACTTGCAGGAACACCTCAGCAAGTGAGAGTCCAAAAGTGGCAGGCTAAAACCCAGAACCTCAATCAGTGGATGCATGTGGTAAGCCTCGCCTCTCCAAGGATTTTGTTCATGTCCTCGAGCTGAACCAACTGAAATGAATCCATTAAAACCAGTCAAACAAATGTTCATGTTACATCCTCAGAGACTGCTGTTAACGTGGCATCAAAGTCGGAGCGGATCAGTGCAACTTTGTCCGCAAAGAATCAAGCAAATGCTTCACAGTGATCTGCCGAGTTGTCAGGGATCTTGCTCTGCGGTGGATTTAATAGTCCTCTGTCAACTCAGAACAGTTCAGCTGGACGGTTATTAGCAGTTGCAATATTGGCCGCGATTGGTGTTTTCTGTGCATCCTTTATTGCTGGGTCATAGGTCCTTAGATACGAACCCAGATGTGCTTGGGCTGATCTGCTCTGCTTCCGGCGCCACACGCACTCTAGCCACCTCTTCTTTTGCTTCATCGCTGCCAGCTCCTCAGTAAACCGAGGAACTGGTTTAGCTCAGTTACTCGAGAGGGAACGTTCTGGAGCAATCGTGTCTATAGCCCTGGTCATCTCCCTGTCCCAGAGAGAGACCAGAGCCTCGACAGGGTCACTTACTGAGGAGGCGGGAAAATTCCCAAGAGCCATTTTAGTGGGTCCACCACCCCTGTGGAAGTGGAAAGGTGCAATAAGTCTAAACTTGATCAGGTGGTGGTCGGTCCCTGGCAATGGAGCGATGGTCAGCTCCTCCTCCCCGCCAGCTTCTTCCCATCCCTGACAGAAAACCAGATCTAATGTGTGTCCTGCACTGTGGGTGGGACCAGATACTAATTGGGAAAGGCCCATGGTTGCCATGGCGGCCATGAAGTCCTGAGCCGCACCTGACAGAGTGGTCTCGGCATGAATGTTGAAGTCCCCCAGCACAATAAGCCGTTGAGACTCCAACGCCAGGCCTCAGACCACTCTGGCTAGCTCAGGTAGGGAGACTGTAGTGCAGCGGTGTGGTCGGTACACTAACAGAATCCCTATCCTGTCCCAGTCACCGACCCTCAGACTGACACATTCGAACGTGGTTGACTGTGGGATGGGGCACCTGGTCAGGGGGATGGAATCCTTATAGACAATTGTGACACCACCTCCCTGCCCTCCAGGTCTCGACAGAGTAACCTGGTGGACAAAGCTGAGAGAGGTTAACCCCCCCCCCCCCCCCCAGTCTCGTCCAGCCAGGTCTCCATTATACATGCCAGGTCTGCATGTTCCTCAAAAATTAAATTCTGAATAATTGATGTTTTGAGGACCTTCTCACAACGACACCAGAGGCAATCCAAATGGCCAGCTTCTGGTCAAAGGACATTTAACATCATGCCAAGTTTTTTAAAATGCATTTTAACTGTACCCTCAACTTGCTTCTG